TATTATTATTATTATTATTATTATTATTATTATTATTATTATTATTATTATTATTATTATTATTATAAATTTATCTGGTCAAGAATGTTACAAAGTACCTTAATTAGGGTTGATTATAAGTAGCCTGAAGGTTAAAACAGTTTTACTGATTCCTAATGAGTTTCCAGTTCAGCACTGTTCAAAAGGCTAATGATAACTAAAGCCCTATGTAGCTAGGATTTGGGCTGCTGAAAGATATCTTTCTTTAGAAGCCTTCTCAAGCATTTATTTCCTTCAAAAAATGTACTTATACTGTGTATGCTTGGCAGAGGTGGGTTTAAATGGTAGCTTATGTATATATGAATTAGCAGCATTCTATCTTTAGAAAGTCTCTCCTGGAAAAATCAAGGGCTTAAAACCAGAAGCCCATCTTTTGTATACTGTACAGCTCTTTCCATTACTTCAGCCAGGTAAATCAACTGAAGGCATTGCTAACTAAATTCCCTTATCTGTGATTTCTGCTGGTGTAATGTCTCAGAAATGAATTGTTAGTCTTTGAATTAGGATTGATCAACACAATGCTGACATTTAGCTTTTATTGCATACCTTGTGTTGGCTCCGGGCTGCTTAATGGTGCTATGTGGAAGTAGGCCTGTATTGACTTCAACATTCTGCTGAGAATGGAGCACCCTATACATGTCACCAGTGACTTTAGGAACTCAACAATGTCAGTGCCCATAAATCAGCAGGGATCTTGTTCTCGGAACTGTTTTCATCAATGGCAGTCATGAATAGGTTTAGTCTTGTTGTGTGTTACTGTCTGTGACCTCTCTAGAACCTCTTTCCTGAGGGCAATGATGTCTATAAAATACAACATGAATATGACTGTTCTTTTTGTTTTCAGTTAGTTGTGGTAACTGTGCTAGGCTGCTGATGATACCCACACTTTCTGACTTCCATAACATCAAAAGTGTTGCTTTATTGAAAGATTGTTTGCAGCTTAGCTGCTTCAGTCCTAAATGGCTGCATACAATTGAGTTGCTATCTTTATTGGGTAAAGCTATAAGCTTTGGAGTTCTTGAAAAAATGCTTTGTAGAAAAATATACTAAGTGCACTGGAATAGTTTATGTTTCCACCCCATTACTCTGTACAACATGAGCCAACTGCTGACAACATCAAACCCCATTGAGGTTTTGTAAATCAAATGGTGTCATAATGGATTATAATAAGGTAATGCTTTTCACTCTCCTTCTTCAATAATGGCACATTCTCTATAAATGTTGGAGAGGTTTGTTGGAAAGCCAAAGGGGACACATTGGGATCTTATGTAAGTGCAGGATTGACCATTTGATTAGCCTCATACAAGGAATTATATCAGTGGAAAAAGAAATTCATCAAGAAGAAGAGTCCTGGTGGTGCAGTGATTAGAATGCAGTATTGCATCCTACTTCGGCCCATGGTCTGGAGTTTCATCCTGACCAGCTAAAGGTTGACTCAGCTTTCCATCCTTGCGAAGTCGGTAAAATGAGAATCCAGATTGTTGGGGATAATATGCTAACTCTGTAAACCGCTTAGAGAGGGCTGTAAAGACTGTGAAGTG